AATTCAAGTACTGTGGAAACACAATCAGGATAACACAAGATTTAGCAGCTTCTACATTAAAGGACCGCAGGGCATGGAATATAATATTCCGGAGGGCAAAGGAGATAGGATTACAACCAAGAATCACCTACCCAGCAAAACTGAGTATAATCCTTCAGGGGAAAAAATGGTCATTCAGTGAAATAGAGGACTTTCAAGCATTCCTGATGAAAAGACCAGAGCTAAACAGAAAATTTGACTTTCAAATACAGGACTCCAGTGGAACATGAAGAGGTAAACAGGAAAGAGAAATCATAAGAGACTTATTAAGATTGAACTGTTTACATTCCTGCATGGAAAGATGATATTTGTAACTCATGAGAACTTTGTCAGTATTAGGGTAGTTGAAGGAAAAAAATGTATGTATGTATATATAGATAGATAGATAGAGGGCACAGGGTGAGTTGAAGATTAAGGGGTCATATCTGGAGAATAAAATTAAGGGATGAGAGAGGATGATACTTGGAGAAGAAAGGGAGAGGTAGAATGGGGTAAATTATCTCACAAAAAAAAACAGAAAAGAAAAGTCTCTCACAGTGGAGGGGAAACAGGGGAAGGTGAGAGGGAATGAGGAATCTTATTCTCATAGGATTTGGCTTAAGGAGAGAAATAACATACACATTCAATTGGGTATGGAATCTGTCTTACCCTACAGGAAAATAGGGGAGAAGGGGACAAGAGAGCAGGGGGGTGATAGAGAGGAGGGCAGATTGGGAAAGAGGGTAATCAGAAGCAAATACTTCTGAGGAGGGACAGGGTCAAAAGAAAGAATAGAATAAATGGGAGGGCAGGATAGGATTAAGGGAAATAGAGTTAGTTTTTTAAAACATGTCTACTAAGGAAGTGTTTTGCATAACTGCACATGTACAACCTATATTGAGTTGCTTGCCTTTTCAATGAGGATGGGTGGGGAGGGAGGAAGGGAAGAAAATTTGGAACTCAAAGTTTTAAAAACACATGTTTTAAAAAAGATGTTTTCACATGCAACTGGGAAATAAGAAATACAGGAAATGGGGTACAAGAAGTCTATCCTGCTCTACAGGAAAATAGAAGGGGAAGGGGCTAAGAGAAGGGAGGGGGGAGAGATAGAAGAGAAGGCAGACCAGGGGAAGGGGTATTCAGAATGCATGCCATCTTGGGGTGGGGGGAAGGGTGAGAAATTTGGAACTCAAAAACCTGTGGAAGTGAATATTGAAAACTAAAAATAAATAAATTTATATTAAAAAAAAACCATACCTGAATTCTTTAGCTCTTTCTAAACCATAAAGGAGGAGGGTCTACATTTTAATGACTTCTCTTTCCCACATTCTTTCAGTGGTAGCTCAATTTCTGACAGAAAACGCATTTCAACTTCTATCCCAGCAGAGCTCAGAATTCATTTTATCCCCAGAAAGAAAGCATGAAAAATGGCTGTCACTATGATTTGTCAAATAACAGGGAAGTAAATTGTGCCTCATTATCTAATCGGATCCCCTCCCCTGGAAGCTGAATAGAAAGGAGGTAATTTCCGCTGGGTGTCTAGTACAATGTCAATTTATCAGGTGTCATCTGACATTCAACTGGATGTCAAGGACACAAGAGTCTTAAAGAAATTTGGTCACAAAGACTGGGTTCTAGTGCCCTGTGCTACTCTTTGGGACAATTCTGGAAATAGGCTATTTAAAATTCGGCGTCACAAATCTGAGAGCTTTCTGAAATATAGAATAAATACATTTTCATTCACCTGTTAATGGAACAGCCCTTGGGATCCTCCATGACAATGACCGAGTAATGCTGTGACTAGCGGGCTTTTGTGGAAAGCTCAGGCTGGCCCTTGTTTCTCCAGGTCATAGACAAATGGCGTCCATTGCTGAGTTAACAGGCATCAGCCCAAAGAAAGCTGGTCAGCTCCATCCCTGGAGACTAACTATGATGCTCTTGCAACATACCTGGCCATGAGTGGGGAGGACAGAGATAACTTAGAATACACCTACCTAAAATTAAGTCACAGAATCAGAGCTAGGAAAAACCTTGGAAGGCCCCTACTCTAAACATGTGTGAATGTTGACTGAGTGAAAATCTTGATTCTCTGAAGCATTTGCCCAAACTAGGAGCCCTGACTAAAGAATATTACATAAATCAATCAATCAACAGCACTCCCATTCCCTTTAATGTCCTTGGGACAAATTTAAAGCAAAGTCTAAAATGAAAGCGTCCCATTTAAAACGAAACGAGAATTCTTATTTCTGACACTTTCTGTGAATTAAGTCATTAGCGTAGGTAGTCCACTCACACATACTCATCACAGCCCCTTCAGACAGACAGTAAATTCTCCCCTCTTCCTGGCACCACACAACCCCATGAATCCTCCACAGAGGATCTCAGTCCATCTACTTTTCCTTCCCTCAGCAGGTCCATCCCTCGCTCCTCATTCTTGCTACAAGACCTGCCCCACCTCCTTCTCTGTTCCAGCCCTTTCTGATAATGACTTCATGCCCCTCCGTGGGCTGGATGGAGCCTGGGGCGCACCGGGCCATTCCACTGCTCTTCGGGTTATTCAGAATGCTTCCAAAGCTGTGGGGAGCACTCTAGGGTTTGACGTCACACATAATGTCAGTGGGTAAACCCCAGGATTAAGGATATACACTTTTACAGCAAAAGGCACTTTCACATCACTGAAAGGGCGGTACAAGTTCTCAAATACCACACAGCCCAATGTTCTTCTATACAATTATATTATTTTTAGAACTAAGAATAATAAAAACTCGACTAAGAAAATCAAAATATTTAAGCTCTCAGTTTGGGATAGGAACTTCTTCATTCATGAATTATGACTTTAAGAAGATTTCAAAATGGGAAAACAAGGACCGTTTTCAGACACGAATTACTAACTAAGCTTGCTGCCTGAGATACAACAACTATAATATTGTTCCTGGAACGTGAGTGAAGATGTCAGTTACTGCTCATCTGTCCTTGTGGATGCTCAAGGGCAATGGCCCAGGGCTTGAATGGATTTTGTCATTTTGTGGACGATCCTGCCTAGCAGAGACAGCTCCATAAACCTGCTAAATTCAGGCATTTTCCTCCTAACTGAAAGAAACCAACCAACCAGAGATGGTGGATTCTGGGGCAGATTTGGGGCCAATCTTTCCCCTGCTCCTGCGTGTCTCAAAAGTTCCAAAAATTCTCTCAGCTATCAACCACTGAAGGAATGTTTTCTAATTGCACTTAGTGTCTAATTATTAATTAATTAGCGGCTGGGGCCAAAAAAGACTTCTGATCTATTCTTTTAATTGAGTTGCTACCACATTAACTCAGGCAGGGAATCCCAGCAGCAGCTATCACCAGGCGTGTGTCCAGGGCCAGCACCAGAGACTCAGGAGCAGGATCAGAGGAGAGAAGGGGGAGCAAATGAGAGATATTGTGAAAGTAGAAATGACAGGAGTGGACCACCGACTGAGCCTGGGAGGATGAAAGGAGGATGGTGGTGCCCTTGAAAGTAAATGAGGAGCTCAGGGAGAGGGGAGGGAAGGATTAGGGAAAAAGATAATGAGTTCAGTTTTGGACATGCTGAGTTTAAGATTTCTACAGCACATCTGGTTCAAGATGTTTACTGGGCAGCTGGAATTACAAGACGGGAGGTTGGGAGAGAGGTTAGGGCTGGACAAGCAGATCAGACCACCATCTGCACAAAGATGGTAACTAAACTCACAGAAGCTGCTAAGATCACCAAGTGAAACAGGGCAGAGGAAGAAAAGAAGAGGGCTCCACATGGAGCACTGGGGACCTCCATGGTTATTGGGTATGATGTGGGTGAGCTCTTCAAGAGGGACAGAGAAGGAACAGTCAGAGAAGTAGGAGCGAGAGCCCCTGGGAGTTTACTAAGTAGGGGACAGAGGGGTCACCCTGGCCGCTCTGTGATTCAGGAAAATCACGCTGGCGTTTGAGCGGAGCAGGCGTGGAATGGGGGAAGGACCTGCAGCAGGAAGGGGAAGGCTACTGTCACAGTCCAGGCCTGGCCTAGAACAGCGGCTGTGCGAGTGGAGAGAAAGGAGAGAGGCTGGGAAGGAAGCGAATGGACGTGAGAAGGAGGTAACTACCAGGCAGTTCAAACTGTCCCACAAGCCTCCTTGGACCAAGAATCTGCCTCCCTGTAACTTCCATCCACAATAAAAAGTAGAATTTTTTCACTAAAGCCAGGTATAGGATCTGGGCTTACATCGACAATGAAGGGAACCATGTCTAGGAACAGAAAGACAGGGAATGTTTTGTTTGCTACCCTGCTTTAGACAGACAAGAGAAGCACGAGGGTGCCTGCTGCTTAGGAAGGAGACTGGAGCTCCAAGGAAGGGAAAGGAAGGACACATAAACTTCGTATATTTTGCCACTTTTGACAAATGCCTTCCCTCTTCCTCCCCCCCTCCCCCAACACACAGCAGCCCCTGACACATGCTACTGAATGAATTCTCTTCCACGCTGCCCCAGTCATCTTCCATTGATATTTATGGCACTGCCAAAGTCGTAAGCTATTCTTGCAGCAGATGACCATAGGTCATAGGAAATTAAGCTCAGTCATTTCAGTCCTGTCCAACTCTTTGTGACTCCATTTTGGGGTTTTCTTGGCAGAGATGCTAGAGTAGTCTGCCATTTCCTTCTCCAGCTCATTTTACAGACGAGGAACTGAGGCTAACAGGGTTAAATGACTTGCCTAGGGCTACATCCCCAGGGTGGTGCAACCTTTCCTTCTAAGCTATGTCTTAATAGCTTAGACACAGTTATTAAATGTCTGAGGCCAGGTCTGAACGAAGATACGTATTTCTGATTCCAAGCCTGGTGCTCTATCCCTTAGCCACCCAGCTGCCCATAGGCCATAGACCTGATAATAAAAACCCCCAATTACAAATTCCTCAAAAATGTAAAGAGAGGAATTTTCTTTCTATTTTTCTTGGGGGATAGAGTACAGAGAAGGTAGGGAAACTTACCTCAGACAGATTTCCCCCATCTCCGTGATGTTAGGGTGCCAGATTCTAGTCAAACATTTTACTTTGGGAGGCTGCAAAACAGAGAGAGATTCCAATGGCATTCTCAAGCAGATAAAGTCATTGTGATAATATAATGTTGGCTATATTATTGTCAGCAACTTCCACCGACATTCTTCTTTGTTTTCAGCTCAATAGGCCGAGCTCCTCTCCAAACCTGACATCCAAACTGTATATGCAAAGTACAATTGTCTTTAAACACAGAATCTACTGTTGATGTTTTTACTAAGAAAGGTTTCCATAACCTATAAACTAAACAGTTATTTGAATCTAAGAGTAACCTTTAACTATATCCTCTAATGAAAAGTCAATAAAAGAGCTTCAGTTTCCCCAGCTGTAAAACACTGGAGTTTGATTAGACAAAGATGAAGTTCCTATCCAATATTCTAGGACTCCAGGCCTCTGAACTCCATGAACTACAGCTGGAAATAAGTGATAGTGTCCTTAAATGAAATGGGATCTGGGATGGTGGAAGCATGGCTAGCCAACAGCTCCTGTGAAAAAATGGAGGGATTGAGTAGACTGTGAGATCAGCACGAGTCAACAACAGCGTGACTTGGAAGCCCCCAAACTACGAGAACATCCATGAAGAGCTCCGTTCTGGACCCTACACTCAGAAACGATGCGGACAACCTGGAGGGGAAAGGGTTGGACTCCAGGCCCCATGAAAAGGATCTCAAGAAATTGAGGCTATTGAGCTGGAAGAGGAGGTTGGGGGTGAGGTACAGGAAGGGTGAGGAGCAGTTGGGGTCTTCAAGGATCTGAGGAGGGGTACGACTTCCTACTTTTCTTGTTCCCAGAGGGCCCAATCAGGAGAAACAGATATAGGCTGCAGGGGCCAGACAACCCCTGGGTCAGGCATGGGCTGGCAAGGTGGACCTCAAAGTCTCTTTGCAATTGTAGAATCTATGGCTCTACGTGACTGTGGCAACACTTTAGTGTGAGTGAGTTTTGGTTAAAGCCAATCAACAAACGTGAAAGAGATCAGACCCCCCCACCCCCATGGCGGGGTATAACAGGTCACAGATTTAGAGCTGGAAGGACCAAAGGGGTCATCTAGCTTAACCCTCTCATTTTCAAGATTAGGAACAGAGGCCCACAGGCGTTAAATGATTTGCCAAAGGTCACAAGGGAATCTGGAGCACAGCCAGATTTGAACCAGACTCCTCTGACTCCAAATTCAAGGGTCTCTCCATTGGGCCATACAAGCCCAGTGAAAGAGGACAGAATAGTAGAGGATGCTGGCACCTGAAAAGGGGATGAGGACTGGTCTCCTAGAGGAGAAGAAGGTAAATAAAGACCAAAGAAGACAGATTTCACAGTTTGCCAAGGGCTGGCAGGTGGCCACAAAGAGAAGCTGGGGCCAGAGATAGCTTCTCATCTACAAACAGGAACAACTCCACCTCAAGATTTATGAGGTTTGCTTTTTCAACAGGACTACTTTCCTGTAAAGGGAATTGGTTTTCTGGAGATTTATTGGATGCAGCATATCTATACCCTGTATTTAAGGAGGAAGGAAAGCCAAAGAGCACCTTAGAATAAGTTCTACCAAAAAAAAAAAGCTAAATAAAGTTTAAGAAGTTTTGGTATTTAAAGAGTGTTTGGATTAAGTTAGTGGGAAACATATTTAAGTAGAATCCCTCCTTCCCTGCTAGATAAGTGAGATTTCAATTAATCACTATTTTGATGCTAAAATAAAAATAGACATTAAAATTTAATTTTTAAAATTTTTATTTATTTTTATTTTTTTTTTTTGCTTTTTGGTGTGGCCATCAGGGTTAAGTAACTTGCCAAGGTCATACACTCAGTAAGTGTCAAGTGTTTAAGGGCGGATTTGAACTCAGGTCCTCCTGACTCCAAGGCTGGAGTTCTATCCATGGTGCCACCACCTCGCTACGTCCTTTTTTTTATTTTTAGAGGTATCTAAGAGTCAGCACTAAACAATTTAATAATATTACATAAAATCAAGGAACAAGTATTTACTATCACGGGCACTACGAATAAAAAAAAGAAACAGTCACTGCCCTCAGTGAGCTTACACTCTCTTGAAGATGAATGTGCGTGTGTATACTCCTACACCAAACACGGCACCAACTACACACAGACTAAATGCGAGGTCACTTGGGGGAGGGGATGAGACTGGCAGCAAAACCGAACGTGGTACAGGCCATGCCGCACAGAGGGAATCTGGTTCATCTTTTCCTGGAGTGATTTTCAAGGTTATCATATAGGATTCAAAAGAGGAGGGAAAAAAAAAAGGAAAGGCTTCTGCATATGTCTTAGGTCGGCAGAACCATTTCTCTATGAAACTTTTACAAAAAGAAATTGGCTTTTCAGTACGAGTGGAAACAGATGACCTCATGGACAGATGGCCTTGAGACCTCTAAGGGAACATTCCATTCAAAGTCTAGGAAATCAGGAGATGTTTCTCGATCTGAATTCTAATGTGGCTAGCAAAACTTGGCTGGGCTGTCAGGCCTGCTTGGACGCTTCTTCCTTCTAAACCGCAGAAGTCTTTCAGTAGAGAGAAGAAAACACTGAAGTAGGATGGCAAGAAGAGTCAGTGTGCGCTGCACAGAGCCAGGCAAGAGCGAGCCGGCCCACCGCGGCCTGCCTCCACTCCTGGACCCGTTCTGTCCTGACCAGCCCGCGGCCTAAGCACAAGCGAGCAGCTCAAGCCGCAGGCACTCTCGACGGCGTTCTCGTTCTTCTTTCAAAGAGGCTCTAGAGCCAGCTTCACAGCTGAGAGTGCCAACAAAAAGGCCTGCTCACGGGAGTCCAAGTCTGGCGCCACTTAGACCGTCTGCTCTCTCTCAGTCAGCCAGAGCAGCAGCCACATTAGTAAGTCTAACAGTGCACATCTGACCTCCTTTTGAAGGGTTGCAATGCCCTGTCCTCACGTAACTCTGTGTGATGCAAGTATCTTTATCCCCATTCTACACATGAAGAAACTGAGGTTCCCAGAGCTGACGTGACTGGACTGTGGTCACACAGCCCAGCACGATGGAAAGGCCACCCACGTGGTGCAAGGAGACTGAGGCCCAAACCCGCCCCGGTCGCCTCCTGTGGGGCTCTGAGCAAGTCACTTCCCCGCCCCTCTCCCCCGAAGCTCCGTCTCCTCACCCGTAAATGAAAAGGCTGCACTAGCTGGCTGCTGAGATCCCCTCCCTTCTAGACTACGTCATCTAGTGGGTCTAATTCCCAAGAACCAGGATGGTCTAACGCAGAGGACTGCGTTTGTGGGCAGAAGAGATCTAGGTTTGAACATCGACTCTGCCCTTAGGCAAGACCCCACTCCGGAACTGTTAAATACTCTTCACACCTGCTTCGAGGCATTGTTTTTATTTAATAAAAATGCCTGCCATGTAAAACCAGGAGGGCGAAGTCGAGAGCCAAATCTGCAATCACAAGCGACAGCCATCTTGTTTCCTTCTAAGGCCTATTAAGTCAGCGGAGCCAAAGTCACGTTCTAAAGGCTGATCCTCTCCCATTATGATGAGTTCTTTAGTTCAGGCCTTGACGCCATCCTCTCTGGGCCACTGCCCCCCACCAAACTACCGTGACTCTAATACTCAGTCTCTCAGAATCAACTGGTTCCTTCCTTGCTGACTACAAATTCATCCCAAGTCTCCCTCTGCTCAAGTACTTTTTCAAAGACCTAAGCAAAGACCCTCAAGTTAGCACACTACAATGTCTCTTCAATTATTAGTCAAAAGTCTTATGAAAATGTTTATCTTTACAATGCTGTTATGCTTTTATGCTGGTCCTGGCTCTGCTCAGTTCAGGCAAGTCTTCCCAGGTTTCACTGAATTTTTGTACCGTGATTTTCAGTGACTCCCCAGTGAATGGATGCTTCTTTCGCTCGTTAGTTTTGGTTGCCCCAAAAAGAATCAGCCTAAATATTTTTGTAACTCTATACCTTTTTCCTTTATCTCGTTGGGACCAGGCCTAGAAATGGTACAAGTGGTTCAAAGGGTATGCAGAGTTTAGTGATTTGGGAGCAAAGTTCTAATACGTTTTCTAGAAAGGCTGGACCAATTCACGGCTATGCTGCCGTACCCCCGGAGGCTGGTTTTCCCACAGGCCCTCTCACATCTGTGGGATCTTACAGAGGTGAGGTCAGACTTAAGAGTTGCTTTAATTTGCATTTCTCTGTTGGTGATTTGGAGCATTTTTCATATGGTTGTTAAGTTGCATGTACTAGGAATCCAATAAATGATTGTTGAATTAAATTTAGTCAGCGAGAATTTCCCATTTTGTCCCAATACTCTTTGGGAAACAGGTTATTTAGAGGCAGCTAGGTGGCACAGTGAATAGAGCTCTGGGCCTGGAGCTGGGAAGACTGAGCTCAAACCTGGCTTTAGAGCCTTACTAGGTATGTGACTGTGGGCAAGTCACTTAATCCTTGCCTCAGTTTCCTCAAGTGTAAAATGGGGGAAACAACAGCCCCTTTTCTCCCAGGGTTGTTGTGAGGACCAGAGAAATCATACTTTAAAAACACTTAGCACCATGCATGGCACATAGCAGGCACTTAATAAATGCCGGTTTCCTTGAGGTGGATTTTTCCAGGGCGTCAAGTCGGATCATTGTAATTACAGAATTTAGTTTAGTTGTTATTATTTTAAACTCTTTTTAAGAAGACTATTAAGTAAATCTGTAACCTAGGCCTGGTAGAATACAAATACGTACGTCACTGTGAGACAGATTTCCTCTATAGCCAAAGACATTAGTTTATATACTTAAAGAAACTCAAGAGTCATGGAGATGCAACAGCTGACATTTCTGGAGAACTTTATCAAATTTCCACTATCTCTTTTGAGCATGTCCCTGAAGGAAATGCTACAGATTTTCCTAAGCTCATTTTACAGGTGAAGAAACTGAGGCTGAGAGATGGAGTGAATCCCTCACGGGTTGGGTGGGATTTGGACTCAGATCCTTCCTGACTCCAAGCCTGGAACGAGCCTTTCGTAAAGCCAGGGCCTCCCTGCCTGAGACGATAATTTTAACTGAGATC